CTATTAGGTTGGAGGCCATCGCTATTAGGTTGGAGGCCATCGCTATTAGGTTGGAGGCCATTGCTCTTAGGTTGGAGGCCATGGCTATCAGGTTGGAGGCCATCGCTATTAGGTTGGAGGCCATCGCTATTAGGTTGAAGGCCATCGCTATTAGGTTAGAGGCCATCGCTATTAGGTTGGAGGCCAACGCTATTAGGTTGCAGGCCGTCGCTGTTAGATTGGAGGCCATCGCTATTAGGTTGGAGGCCATCGCTATTAGATTGAAGGCCATCGCTATTAGGTTGGAGGCCATCGCTATTAGGTTGGAGGTCATCGCTACTAGGTTGGAGGCCATGGCTCTTAGGTTGGAGGCCATGGCCATCGCTATTAGCTTGGAGGATGGTGCTTTGCCGGTTGCAACTTGTAACCCACATGATGCCTTGCCAGGACTCACATGAATGTCTCGGCATGTTTAGGCGCTCGCCCCAAAAAGAAAGGATCGGGGTCCATGGACCTGCTAGCGATGGCCATGGATGCATCCGGTCCAAGAGAGGGCGCGCGGCAGTTTTCGGTCGCTCCGTGTTCCTCTCACAAAAGATGACCCCCAAATGCAATGCCACCATCTACACTAAACTATGAGGGGTTTCTTTTCAGAACGGCAGGCCCTGGAAGTGCACTTTATATACCGCTATGTTCAGTGATCTGGAGGTTCATTTTTTAGTAAATTCTACTGAGATTAATTCACAGCACCAGTACTGCCAAGGACATCTCAACTGTTGTACTCTGAAAAAATGCATAGGACTTTAAAAACAAACAAACAAAAAACAATCCTAGGAGACTCTTTGGGGAGGAAACAAAAAAGACAATCCTGACAGAGTCTTTGGACCCCCCCCAGCCCAAGACCTCCCAGCAATTGTGTTTTTTTGTTTTTTTTGGTTTACTCACCAAAGAGTCTCCTAGGATTGTTTTTTTGGTTTTTGGGCACCCACCCCAAGACAAGACTTCTGAAGAGTTGGTTATTTTTGTTTCTTATATTTTGTGTTTTGGCATCTCTAACTTTTTCATCACATTCATCAAACCTTTTAGTACAAATAGAGCACCTTGTAGCACTTCTGAATTCTAATTCGTCTTCTTCACTAATAACCATTGGTTTATTAACATGCATTTTTTCCAATGATATTAGGTTTGATATTACCCAATTGTTCTATAAATTTATCCATACAATCCTCATCCCTATACAGATAAGGTGTGGATGTTTTGTCAATTCTATTCACCACATTCAACATATAACCGTCTTATAACCGCAAGGTTTATGCTCTTGATATGTGCCCTTAATCCCATCAGAAGAAGTCACAGCCAGGCATTCAAAATCTCCATAAATAACAAAAGGACAGTCTAATTTGGTATTATACTTTTCAAATTCAATAAAAGAACCTTCAGGGGGTAGTTTGAATTGTTGCCCCGCAATTGCTAAACAACCCCTTTTATAATGTTCTTCCACGCCCTCGTTTTTACAAATGGGATGAGAGCAATACCTACAGATATGTGTTTTATTTTTATCTTTATTCAATTGACAATTTAAAAACCTACTCAAACATCTTATTAAAGCATAATGGTATCCGTCTTTTATCAGCAAAAACTCTCAATAAGTCAATATGATATTTAGAATATAAAACTTTGGTTGCTCTTGTGTTGATAATTTTTCTTCATTAAACATATTATCTGTTTCAAAAACATCTACTGAAATTAAACCATCATTATTCACTTCAAGCCTGTCAAGATCTCTATCACCTGCTGGAAAATTGACACACTCCCAATTGATGATGTCATCCATCAATTTGTTATAATGAACCATTTCTTCTGGGTGATGTTTATTCATTTTATCAAACACTACTGATTGAATACAATACTTTAAACAGTTGTTATAGTTATTTGTTATATTGATACACGCCTTTTTTAACTTAACATAATTAGGCAACTCTATATATTTGCCTGCCCTAGTTGGATTATATCTATCATAATGGATGGTAATAGAAACTACCTTTTTTGAATTTGAGATTTGACCTTGAAGCCTCAATCTGTTCTATTTGAAATAGTATTTCTTTTACACTATCTTCTAGAGCTTTATTCAAGTCATCTTCATTATGAATGTTGAATCTTGTGGATGGTAAATTATGAAGAATCTCAGACTCACCTATATCACCATCAAAATCTTCACCATCATTAACATTAGGCTTACTAAATAATGCTTCCGATCTTATGTTGAGTTTCATATTATGATTCTTTTAAAGACATTCTACAAGTAATGATTTTTGATGTTGTATCATTGATAAGCCTTGTTCTCCTTTAAAATGCTTGTTTATGAGCTTGAGATTATTGGCATATCTTTTAAAAGTTGATTTACCTTTTTCTACCCTGAACTTATTTTGGTAGCATATTTGGTTAGGGCTTCCTTCATGCCTACAGCCAATGAAATTATCTTATGGTTGTAACTTCTATATTCAATAGTTTTCTTCACTGATTCCAATTTCTTTTTCAATCTTTTTGAGATATCTTTGTTTTGGTTATATCTGAATTTTTGATTGTCAATATATAACTATTGGCTTTAGTTCTTTGTCTTCTGCTTCATCAGTTTTAAACACATAATTCATATTTTTTCATAATATAATACTATATATTTTATACATTAACTACTCTTTAAGTGTATGTTCATTGAATTTATACTTAAAGATATATTAATTTGTAATATTGGGTGATTTTAGGAATTCTTGGGATACCGTTTTAATGACATATTGATGTTAATATTCAATGAGTATACTTGGGGAAATACTTGTGTTAAGCCAAAAGTCGCAGATGAAGGCAGACATGTCAGAGAACTTAGACTTCGAGACGTCGAGCCTGCCCCAGGACGTCGAGACCGTGCTTCGTCGCTCTCTCGAGACCGCTCAAAGGCCCCTTCCACGGCGCTTGAGTTCCATGGCCTCCAGTGCATGTGGGCAAAACTGCTCGCGAGACTGTCGGGAGGAGCCGCCCGGCAGAGGAGTGGGTCAAGGCGGAGAAAGGCTGAGAGTGAGTGGTGAAGATCTGTGTTGCAGACCAATCAATCACATGTTTCTAGGTAGTCTAGGTGGTATTAGAGTGGTAGTGTTGCTTGTCTGATAGCTCAAAGCACGACCCAGTTCAACCATGTTTAGGCCTGTTTAGGCAAATGAATTGCAAGAATGAGGAACCGGGATCGTTGACGTTCACAAACTCGATGTGCCTTTGGTCCCAGTTCGTAGCCTTTTGGTCCTTTCATCGATTGATTGGTCAAGTGATCGCAAACTTGGTTGCTAAGCACGAAATTGCCCAAGGGTTCTTGATGTTTTTGTTCGCCTCGAGTAGCAAGTCATATATATATATAGAGGTGGGGCTAGGCCGCGGTTCATCATGGCCCAGTTCGCTGGCTTGGAATTCCGGGGGTTTCCTTTGTAGCTTGGAGATGCTCGGAGTGGGGTCCTCTTTACCCTACTAGTAACAAGAAGCTACTAGGAAGAAAGGTCATCACCCACGAGGTGATCCTTTCAACTTTTCAGCTGTGTGACTCAGGTCAGTGACCAAGGACCAGCTGACCATTTGCCAGAGCGACTGTGACGAGCCTGAGAGAATTGCTGCAAATCTTTGGATTTGGATTTCGAAGAAATGCATTGATGTGGGGCTCTTGAAGACTCAAATGACTCCAAGACCTTTTTCTGTCTTGAACGGGTATGGCCCTTCTGACTCAAAAGGCGTCCGACCATTCAGTGAAGAAACGAGGTTTCATGAACTGCACGGTGGACTCTGACTATTCGGACAGCGAGGATGGGTGATTTTGATGCTTGATGGCCTCCAACCTACTAGCGATGGCCTCCACCTTTTCATCTTCGAGTTGCCCTTTGCTGTACAACTTGGCTTCTTTGTCTTTCTGCAATGTTTGCTGCTTTCTTTGGTGCAGTAGTCAGTAGTCCTGTTTTTTAGAGTTGCTATGTGAGCTTGGTACTTGGCTTGACGGCAGTCATTTCAAATCGTTCTTGACGTTTTCATTTCAATCGGCATTGAGCGGATGCCGGCCTGGGTTCCGGCTTTGAGTTTTCCTCCTCTGTAACCTCAGAAGCTAGGGGCTCCTGGCCTTACTACTAGGAGCGATCGGACGCTACGAACGGGGCTGGCCCGACCCTGGGAGGATAGTGGGAATTCCAGCGAGCTGGAGAAGGGTGATGACTCGGACGTGGAAAGCACCACGCGGTCGACCACGGTGACGACGGTGACCACGGTGAGCAGCACTCAGGTGGGGAGGTTCTGGGCGGCAGATCCGTGGTGCTCCTCAGGTCAGTTTGATCATTGACAGATCTGTTTTGTGAACCATCATAGATCATAAAGCTCCCGTGAGTCTCCAACGGATCACCTTAGCCTTAGAGCCTTAGTCCTCACATGGGACTGCGACCAGAGGCCGAGTCGAAGACGACGATCCTGACCTCCATCAGCCAGACGACGATGGCCACCACTACGACCAGCTACGACCACTTCGAGGGCACGGACGGCACCACGGAGGGCGCCCGGATGAACCTCACGAGCACGGTGGCCACGACGACGACATACATGTCCACGTCGAGCACAGCCACCCGAATCAACACAACGACGAGCACAGCGACCACCACAACATCCACAACCACATGGAACACCACGACCACAGGAACGACCACCTCCACATCCACCACAACCTTGCCACCCCCACCAGTGCGGCTGGTGCAGCCATCAGGACACTTGCGGACGTCTGATGTTCTTGAAGTTGACTCTCTCTTTTTCCACCCGGGTGCACACCGACGTGTTGTGTGATTTGTTTTTTCTTCATGTGGATTGGGCTGCCAGCGGCTGCCAGCGGCTGGTCATTTGCTGTGTGTTCATGTCGATCATCTCTGCAGGAGATGTCTTCAATGTTGGCGATTCAATGCCGGAGGACTGAGATGAGAACACTCAAACCGCTGGTCGGTGTTCATTTCCAGGGTCTCCAGGCGACTTTTCGTTCGAAGGACTCGCTTTTCGGACTTCGAATGACACGAGTGCGCCCCGAAATCTCGGGCCGACCAACACCTTTGGTCGCTTTGGAAAGACAACCCCCATGGCGCCACTAGGAGCGTTCGGACGCTACAAACGGGGTTCCTGGCCTTACTACGAACGGAGCAATGTTCGCTACGAACAGAACAAAGGGCATCGCCAACTGCTCAATACTTTCGCGACCAAAACCCCATGGCGCCTGCATGGCGCCAAAGCGACGGTTTGCCGCTCTCAGGAGGGCTTTGTGCGGGGTCGTGTTGAGGTTCTCTACGAGAATCACTGGGGCACCGATCTGCTGGCCTGTTGAGCTCGGCTCGAGTCTCGCGCGCGGCGCGGCGCCACCGAAAGGGGTGGGCCGAGTCGATGGGTTTTTGGAGAAGAAAGTCGATAAGCAGATAATAGATAGATTCAGATAGATCACATGATGCTCTTCTACAAAATTTCGGAAAACACATCGACCGCTTCGACCGCTTCGCCAGGTCTGCAAGGACGGCTTCGGACGGGTGGAAGCGCAAGTGGTTTGTAACGAGCTGGGGCTCACAGGCGGGACTTCACGTTGGAAGGTCGAAAAGAGACCATTCGCTAGCATCGCTCTTCGGTTGGAGCGCTAGATCGCTCGTCTTCTTCACAGTGGCTCCCCCTTTTAGTCTTAAAACATCCTATAGAGTCGACCATAGAAAGAATCGCTTCGAAGGAAAGGCACGAAATCCACCTGACCTGCTCAGCCTTCGCATCGCCGCGGCGCCACGACGCGCAGGTGCCTGGGGCCGCTACGACGCGTCGGCGCTCGCGGGCTTCGGCGGCTCGGAGGAGCAGACGATTTGGATCGACGACATCAACTGCCAAGGCCGCGGTGCCGTGCGAACGCGGAGCGGGGCGGACCAAGGGCATCGCGACTCGAACGGAACACGAACGGAGCGATCGGACGCTACGAACGGGGTGCTCCTGGCCTTACTAGTAACAAGAAGCTACTAGTTACTTACTAGGAACAATGATACAAACCTTGCAGTAGAAGGATTCACATGCGGGTCAAGTTTTTGTCAGCCTGTTCTTGGCAACACTTTGTGGTAGAAGGCAGGATGTGCACGCGCTGCCTGCGTTTCACAGGTGATGAAGGATTCCTGAGCTTGTGCAGCAATGCTGGTTGGGGCATCAACAACTGCTGGCACACCGAAGATGCCAAGGTGCGGTTCCGCAGATCGTACGACACATCTCATCCGAGTGTCAACAGAATGCTTGTTGTGCTTGTTGCGTTCAGGATCCCCTGTTGGGTCTGGCTTCGATGGATTTTTTGCAAGTATATAGATGTATATAGCAACATCGTATTCAGCCATGGGAAGGAAGTGACATAGGGATAGACTAGCATGTTCCAATCCGCATCATGAGTGCAAAGCTGCACGAATCGGACCCTCTAGGCCTCTAGGTCAGAAATACGTCCTAAGCTGCTATGAAAGCACATCCTACAACTACTAGGCTACAGACATCTAATCTAATCATATATATAATATATATGAATCATATGAACGAACGGAACAACTGCTAGGCTACGAACTGCTTGTTTCGAGGGAACAGTTTGCGACTTCTTGAGGTTTGGTGCGAAATGGTCAGCACGACCGTGACCACCTCGACAATGACCACCACACGTCCGACCACCTCAACCACGACGGGCTTCCCTTTACAGACGGTGATGCCCAGGCTGAATGTCTGACGCGCTGAAACCTGTCGCCACTGTTTCTGTGTGACAAGATTTTGAAGGACATTTATACCTAGGTGAGGAGTTTTGAGTTTGAAAGGTTAAGCCATGAAGGCAAACCGTTTCTACCGACAGAAACCATGACTTCGTCCTCGTCGCCCCAAAACGCATGACTCCAGGAAAGGCTTCATCCGACAGGAGCTCTGACTGAGATAAGCCGACACAGTCGGTTTCAAGCTGTTTCGACGGAATTGGAGCCAACAAAGAGGGCTTGGAGGTTTGCTGGCTTCTTGGAGTGTTTGTAAGACAACTATCACCTTTTTCGGGGTGCGAGCGGTCAGAGATGTTTCTTCAACATCAGTACCATGAGCATCCTTGAGCAAGGAAAGGCCAATGCTCCAATTGAGCTTCATCTTGAAGCTTGACCCTTCCGGAAGCTTCAAATCACCCCACCGGCCAAGAGAGCCCCCGAAGAATCTCGTTTCCTTTTTCATCCGGTGGAACCCGAAGAATCGAGGCGCCCTCCGCCACTCGAGGAGATCACTGGGCGGTGCTTGGGTGCTGCCAGCTGCGAGGAAGGCGCGCTCATCACCAGCCAGGCGCGCGGCGATCCGGTCGAGTCGGGTCGAGTCGGGTCGGTCGGCGCGCCCGGTCGCGGAGGGACGGCGCCAGTTGCGCCAGGATTGTCTCTTCTTCCAGCCCGACAGTATGCAACGCTGGGATGTGAACGAGCAACTTGCCGGATGAGAGTTCCGATTTGAAGATGTGAGACAGCAGAGGCACTGGTGCTTTTGATCTCAAGCTTGGAAAGGGCCTGTTGGAATGCTTCGGGCCCTGTTTGCGTGCGATTTTGTGCTCCGGAGTGGATTCTCTAGCCACTCACCCTGTGCTGCTCAGTCAATCCTGAAACTTCAAGACAAACTCACCTACTACACCCTCCAACGTGTTGCGCAGCCTGGTGTGTCTTTAAGGCTGTTGCAGTGCTCAAAGGCATGGTGGGACGTTCATGGAACTGAGGCTTGGAATGTTGCAGAACATGGGCTGCCCGGGCATGTCTGTTGGCTGCAAAGGTTCTCCAGGTGTTTGGCTGGGTGTTGAGACAGAGCACGAGTTTTGGATTCACATCCCTTTTGACTCAAAGGTTCGATGGCCTCCACCCGAGTAGCGATGGCCTCCAACCTAAGAGCGATGGCCTCCACCATAGTAGCTATTTTTTCTTGTTTTGGTCGACTTGGGTGCAGCATGCCCTCCGTTTCAAACAGGTTCCTTTTTTCCCGAAGTTTCGGCGCGGAGGGAGGTGCGAAGCGAGCTTCGGACCGTCTGAGATTTGAGGTGCCTGAGCCCGATTGGGGAGACTCCCGTGACCTAGGTTATGCAAGAGGTGGTCCTCAAGTGACTTGGCCAAAGCGAAGCCGAGAGGACAGGGCTACAGGACCGGACCCTTCCCGGAGATGTGGTTTTCAAGTGTGTGTTTTGGCGGACTTCGGAGGTTCCGGACATCCTTAATCATCTTTAGGCTCCACTTAAATCACAATGTGTGCGCATCGGTCCGGCCCTTCGCGAATACGTGCACTTCTGCTTGCAAACTAGTTTACAGGTGGACAGGAGACGGGAGGCGTGTGTGTGTGTGTGTGTGTGTGTCCCACCCTGGACAAAGGGTTTTCCACCACCATTTCTCCACAAGCAGGGGGCCAGCGGCCGACAAGCAAACGCTGGCTAACAAAGCTATGCTTGCTCGGTGGATGCGGTCAGAGACGTCTGACCGTGTACCTGCTAAGAAACTGTTGCCCACGCTGTCCACTCCTTTGGTTTGTTTCATGGTGTTTCATGTCTTCCATCCCCTAAACAGGTTTCCCACCACAGCTTTCAGCTGCCGACGTTCAGCCGCGCTTCTGCAGATGAGTGAACAGATTGTTAAACATTTCAGTTGCGCTGACCTTTCACCTTACGTTTCCCTCACCTTCCTTCCCAACGTGATACTTGCATTAACTGAAAAATCCAAGTTCGAAGTGTGTCCTGCTCAGCCGTCCCACTCGGGTGCTGAGTGTGATCCCCTTCACAGGGGCGCTGTTTTTGCATGGGAAAGCAACCACCCCAACGCTCCACCGATCACTGGAACATCACAGGAAAGCACCGACCCCCACTTTGAATCAACTGCCACACCGGCCGCCGGGCCAAAAAACGGTTTTTGACAAATCACTCAGATTCAGAACTTTTGTTTTTCCGATTTCGGCATTCTTTCCATGGCTTCCAATCATGTGCGTGTTTATGTGTTCGTTATGTTGCTGCCGCGACTCTCTAATCGACAGCACTCAAGGAAGGGCATTACAACTCTTCAGCTTAATTCGAGATGCATGAACACACACTTACCAACAAGCGAACGCTCAGCACCACCTTACAACATCCTCACCACCGACACCAGCGCTGACAACAACAAGACAATACCACTCGGCATTTCTTCGCTGCCTTTTGCTGCCGCGCCGCGCCGAGCCATAGCTACGCCACGACATGCATTTTCCGTGGCCCTATGCTCACACCACGCCACCACCACTACCTACCACACAACCTCAACCCACATGGCCGATGCCACAGCCATCAACAGCACCCACTTATCCCTCGACACAACCACCGGCATACCCTCACCTCCAACCACAACCATTTCAACCACAACCGGTTTTATCCGCCCCTACTGCCACCGCAATGACCTACGGCACACCATCCACTTGGACTTTTGTCCCCCCATGTCACGTGCCACCGCAACCCACACATCCAGCTCCAGTGTTTCCGACAGCAGCACCTCCCCCGTCCTACCTGCTGCCACCACATCATCCCACACCACCAGCGGAACTTCCTCCCCCCACTACACTGACACATCCCCTTTCAACACAGCAACAGACTGCGATTGCCAATCATCCATCCACAGATCCCCAATGTGCCATCCCACAGGGCGTTTGGCAACCCTATTCAGCTTTTCCCCCCGTCACACAACCTCCACTCCAACCGGGGCCCCCCGCCACCGCCTCCACAAATTACCACTGCCTCAATGCCAACCCAACCTCCATTTCAACAGCAGCTACCATCGGATCCAACACCACAGATCCAACCCAACCCCACGACTGCCCAGGACAATCCATTACCAGTCCAAAAAACACCGGCCACCGTATCCCAACATTCAGCATCCCCCTCGCTGGTCTCTGCCACACCAGCACCGGGACCTTCAATACCAGCATCAGACAAACCTGACACCACTGCCTCACCAGCACCACAACCACCTTCCCCACAACCACCACACAGCAGTCGCCGCCACCATCGCCAGAGCCGACGTAAGTCCGACCATCACCACAGAGGACGCCACCGCCACCGCCGCCGACATCGCCATCACCACCATTCCAAACACCACAGCAAAACCAGGCGACGGCGTTCGCCTTCCACATCCACTTACACATCTAGCCTCACACCATCCCGCAGTCGATCCCCACCACAACCCATTGATCTACGTCCAAACACCGAACACGCGAACCCTGATCCCTCTCAATATCCCACCACAGCCGTCATCCGTCGCCCACTTAACCGTTGGCGACCTCCACCCAACTTTCACACCCTCACACCCGCAGACCAAATCCTGGAATGGCTCGAATTCCACGCCACCCAACTCGACAATCCCAACAGACCACAACACCAGTACATTGCCAATATCCTCACAGACTGCAACATCTCCTACAAGGAGATCAACGATTTCCGCCAATACACCCACGCCAAGTGGAACGACACAACTCACCAATACGACCAATTCCAGTACTATGCCATTTCACTTCCCTTCCTCAACACCAAAGCCACTACACCCGAGCCACCTGCGGTTTCCCGCGCCACATCAACCCACCGAGAAGTTGCCCACATCAACGCAGGCCACACAGGCCCCGTCGGCAACATTTCCAACATTCTACGCCAAGGCCGTTTTCTACCCAGCACACTCCACTTTGCCAACTACCCTGGATTTTTTGCCCAGGGCGTTCGCATCACCCACAACCAACCCCATGACCACAACGAATTTGCCCGCATCATCCACAACACCTGGCAACTCCACAAGAACTCCCATTCCCTTATCATCACACTCCTTGCTTGGGGTGCCGCCACAAAGTATACCTCTGGAGGTGAGGAACACGCCATGAACCTCCTTAACGACCACCATGGTGCGGTCTTTCATCAGAAGGGCCGCTGCTGGGTGATCCACCCGGACCACGCCATTGTCAAAGGACTGGCCTGGTCCACCAACTCCACCCCACCGGACCCATAACGCCACTGCCACACATCCACACCTCACTACCACCTCCACATCCACTTTTGGTCTCACACCACCACCCAACCTTTGCTGTAGCAGCAAAAAAGAGTCTCTTGCAGCAGCCACGGGCAATTTTGCACCCTTCATTTTTCTAGCTCCGCAGTATTTGCTGAGAATCTTTTGAATTGTATCGGCTGTTTTGCAGGAGTCTTTCACATGTCGGTTTCTGTATCGTGGAGAGTGATTCTTTAAGCCATGTACTCGATTGTCCAATTTGCATTGCGTACTCACCCTTTTGCCTGTGGGAATTTGATGCTCGCTTAATTCATATGCACGGCCTCGGAATGATGTGCTTCCTCAGACTCGCCGCTTTCCGGCTGCTTTGGTGCGCTGCCGCAGCAACCTGTGACGATTCTTGACTACTGCACACCCCTACATCTCAGCCCCATGAGCAGCAAGCTGACACCTCTACAAAACGACACCGCCACTCTCCTACACAAAACTGCAGTGGCACTTTCCCAGGTGCACAACCTGCTTCGACAAGCCACAGATATTGTAGCACACCTCCACACGGTTTTCCTCCACCACAGCCACCAAGCAGACCCCACTTTCCGCCAACACTTTCAGCCACTTCCAACCCCACCCAATCACCCCATACGTTTACCATCCACCACCTCATCCTGTGATTCAGCACCATCAAGACCACCCATCCGTTCACCAGCACCACCCTTACAGGATTCCGACGACACTCCAACAACACCCCCTGTCCCACAACCCGCCACAACACGCAAGCGGAAGCAACCGCCCCCACCACCACTGAACCAACACGCCGATTGGGACGCTTGGGACGGCGACGCTGATTGTCGCCTGATCGAACTCAAAGAAAACCCAAAACTTCGTCCAAACTGGACTACTGTGGCCCGCCGCGTGGGTTTCTCCGTTGCACAATGCCAAGCCCGATGGCAAGAACTCAAAGACATGCAACGACAGCAGGACCAGCAACTTTTCTCCACACCACTACCACCTGCACCACCACGGCAAGCACCTTCCCCCTCACCAACACCTACATCACCAGCAGTTTCCCCAGCACCACATTCACAACCAGACTTCTCCCCTTCCCCCACCACAACACCACCGACTTCACAATACCCAACGACTCCAGCTGCTGCGCCGCTGCCGCCGGCTGCTGAGCCACCGCGTAGTGAGGACAGTCATCCGGAGAAATCTCCACTCACGCCAGTTGGCAGCTATTTCATTTGATCCGTTTCACCCACTTTCCTTACGGCGTGCCGCACGACAAATTCGCTGACATGCACTGAATTTTATTCACACCCAATTTATGTTCACCCAGTTGCCCACCTTTGATTTTACAGTTTTCAGGCTCACCTCAGCTCCGCAGCCTTTTGTACGCCATCACAATCCATCACTTGTCATGGCCAATCCTCGCGCTCGCCCCTATGGCAACACCGCCAACACAGAACATTACTTGCCACAGCGGCCTCCGAGCTGGCTCCAACCTTCAATTTGCACTCAGCCTGACTTTCAATCTCTCAACAGCTCCTTTGACCTTCTCGTTATGGTCAACCAACACCTCCGCCACCACCCATTCCACACTGAACCTATGCCAAGCCAGACGTATTTTCAGGACCAGAGAGCATACAACCTCCTTTACCGAATGCGCGGTGACCTGATCTTGCTGGACCGCCTGATTGATAACCTTTCCCAGGCTCGCCGGCTCCTCCAATTTGTTACCACCGGCCCAGGCCTCCCCGGGCAATATCGCATCAACCCCACAGCCTCACTCTCCAGCAGAAACCTTGCCATTCTACACGACATACCGCCAGGTTTTCCACTACCACCCGGGCTTTCCAGCCGGTCACCCACTCCTTCACCACGTACCCCACCACAAGACGCAGCCCGCCTGCACTCATCCTGGACAGGCCCTCCACCACAAACTACCCCAGCAACTCACACCAACATTACCACTCACACTAGGGAACGTTCACGGTCCCGCGACAGCTTCTCACACCGGATGGGCTAACTACAGCAACATCCAACCTCCAGCTCTCCGGCAGCCGCCGCGCAATTTTTGTCAACTATGTGACAGCATCCCT